AGTGAAAGTTTTAAAGGCAGTAAAGCAAGGATATGCAAACACTCACTGAAAATAAGTTAATGAACAAAGACAGGAGCCTCTACAAACGTTTCTATATTCACCTTGGACTTACTCCTAGCAAATGTTAAGAGTCTCCTGTGTAAAATTCTTCTGAGGGGAGAGATTCATTCATTGCCAAGTGATCTAAATATATTAGAAATCCAGATTAGAAGATGGCCAAATTAACAGGTTTGCATTACAATCCTTTCATTCCTCAGTTAGGTAAGTATAAGTATGAAGTTCACATACGGTTGCTAGTTTATTTGGGGAAAAAAATCAATACTTTGGATGTTAATTCTGATTTCTGTTTTCTTTCTCTCATTTTTTCCTCTCATTTGAAGCAAAAACTTTATACCACTACAGAAACTAAATGGATCAACTAAACTAAAAACAATAGCTAAGACAAACTTACGCAAAATGCAGGTATGTGGGTGTATGTGTATTGACGGGGTGGTAAAAAAAATGACAAATAAATTACATTTAGAAATAAAACTTAATTAACTTAAACTACAATATTTTTGATTTGGGAAACTTAGACAAGAAGTCATCCAAGTTTTCCTTTGTCAATAAAGCTACCACCATGCACACCATCCCCAATGAAAAAGCCACCCAAGATTCGACTCTGGGAAGAAAAAATCATCTTTCTATTAAAATAAATAAAGCCAGGAGGAAGATGTCTGCTGCTTCCCACAGACATCTTCCAGTGGAAGAGAGAAAGTCCATTCACAATAAGAGAAAATCAGAAACACACAATAATAGAGCTGCTTCAGAACATGATTCAGCCAAATCTGAAGCCATTCCTACATATTCTAAGTTTCTCAGTAACATTACCAAATTCTTCCTTTTGTTTATTTTGGAGCTGGATTTCTATCATTACTCATGAAAGAGACATACTGCTTGCAACTTATTTGTATCCACATATTGTATTAAAGCAGGGCCCCTAGGAAAGTCTACTATGTAATAAAAAATTGTTTTTTCCAGAAAAGCTAAGGAACAGAGTTACTAACTAAAAATCATCACAAAAAATAAAAAATTTTTCAAGAATTGGAAGACATATTAAAAAAAAGCAAACTTTTTAGCATTATAGAAGGTAGTTCAGAACTGACTAAAGTTACTACAACTATCAATATCACGTTATAATTGTACAGATGTCTAAAGATATGTGTACAGGTACCTTTAAAAATCAATCCCTTTTTCAATCCAACTTACCTATTTCTTTTTGAATGTTTATATACAAAGTATTTATATACATTTATATATAAGTATACATTTATATACACATATTTATATATTATATATAAGGTAAAATTTATATACAAAATATATATTTATATATACATTTTAGTCAGAGAAAATACACAGATTTCATTGGTTCTTTTCAGCAACTTTTAGAAACATATCTTGTCTAACTAAGCCATACTCACATATTTGGGCTGGATATTGTATGACACTCTAAAAAGACACACATATTATAGTTTCTAAAGTGATCTATATTTCCCAAGTATATTAAGATGAAACTATCTCAAGACATACCTGAGTTTTTATAAATTGTATTTTGTTTTAAATTACTTTTTTTTTATTGTAAGCAAGAAAAGTATTTAGGAAAAGATAATTTTTCTGGGATAGAACTGCAAACTTCAAATTTCAAAAAGTAAAATTTGGATATCTATTCCTTACTCTCAAAAGGTTCAGAAAAGCATAATCATACAGAGAGAGAGAGAATTATGAAGCATATATGGCATATACTTAACAGTGGAGGGTATTTGAAAGACCTTTGTATTATTCTTGAAACTTTTCTGTAAGTTTGAAGTTATTTCAACAGTAAAGTTTATGCTGAACTTAGTATTGTGTTGTCATATTATTAGTAGGGTAATTGATGATTATTGAAATACATTTATTTTCTACTCTTTGAACTTGATTTTTTTTAACTTTATTTTTATATCTATGACCCATTTTTTTGAGATTTTCACTTTTAACCTATTCATTTCTAAGAACTTCAAGCTTATGAAGCCTTTATCCATTCATACTATCCCCAAAAGCCATTTGCCTTTTCATTCTAGTTTATGGTGATATTTTCCCCCATGTCAAATCTATCTGATGTCTTGTTTAAGCATTTTCTTTTATCTTATGGTTGTGAGGCACCCATTTAAAGGTTTAGTATATATCCACCTATATTTGCTTCCAGTTTGGAAAAATAAGAAGATGAAAAGATAATAGAACTGTGTGACATAGTAGGACTAGGACAATTATTTAATTTACCTATTTCTGTAAGTACTACTCAATTTGAAGGAGAAAAAGAATTTTGGTGAATTTTTACCTTTAAAATAGCTTTTAATCTTTTTAATGTGACTATGTACTTCATTTCTGTGGTAGTCATGTAGTAATTACCACAAATTGTAGGATTAGAGATGCAGATATGGCATATCCATGCAAAAAAGAAAAATAATTCAAATATTTGCACAGATGTTTTACAGAGATAACCCTCTCATTGAAACTGTTTTGTGCATTAAGAAATATCTAAATGTAATGTGAACATAAAATTTTACCTAGAATGCATCACAATCTAACAGTATCCATGCCTTTTATGAGCTAGTTCTTGTGGAACACAGAGATTACTTAAGAAGTTGGATAAACATACAGAAGCTATTATATGTAAATATAATAGCCATGGTGGAAGTTTTCCTTTATAGGAGCAATATCCTTCTTTGGCTACGACCATAGGCTTTGGCTTTAAAGTTGGATTTAAGTCTCAGCTCTGCTAGGAAAGAGTTATGTGATCTAAAGCAAACTATTTAACATCTCTGAGCTTCCATTTCCTCAGCTGTTAACTAATACAATAATAATATTTACCTTGGGGGATTTGGGGAAAGATTGAACAAGTTATTATATGTAAACGACTTGGAAATGGGACTGACCCACTCAAAGCATACAACGTGTTAGCTATATTTTAAAATGGTTCTGCATATTTGAGTCTCATCTAAAAACCATGTCTACATTTTAGTCAAAAGGAACAAAAACTACAAAGAATTGAGATTAAAATCTCAGAATCAGAGTTTCACAGGTATTTTTCACTAAATGTACAGCTTGTATAAACCCAACAACAACAAAGTAGATAAATATATAACACAAAAACTGTTGAAAATGTAGAGATAACTTAATTAAAAATACACAAATAGAAACTTTTCATATACCTTTCTCAGTAAAAAAAAAAAAAAGCCTAAATGTGGCAAAAATAAAAGTATAATGAAAAACTGCAAATAACAAACTTTAAAAAAATATAAACACTTTCATCATGAAATAGAAAAGGTGAATTTTTATATTCACAGAACACACATAAAAATCTTCTTGTACTCACCCTCACAGAAATCATAAAGTTAATCAAAACACTGTAAGCAATGTTCTTTTAATACAATCCAAAAATTAAGAAAGAAAAACAAAAAAGTGACCAAAGATATTATAAAATTTGAGAATTAAAAACTCATTGATTACCCATGGGTAGAAAGAAATCAAAGCAAATCACAAATTGTATCTATGCTATAGCTACAAAAACATATCGATCTAAAACTATAGGATACAATGACCATTATAATATTTCAGGCTTCTTTCCCTTTATCATTAAAGAAGAAACTCAGACTGGAATTTGACAGAACACTGTAAAATGATTATGAATCAATAAAAAATGTAAAAAAAAAAAAAAGAAGAAGAAGAAACTCAGTAATCTTAACAAAGAAACAGTACTCTTAGCACAAATCTTACAAAATTAGAAAAAAAATTAGCTGAAAAAGGTGAAATAAATTGATCAAGGTAAAAGCTCAAATTAAAGAAATAAGAAAAAGTTTAATAGCCATTAAAACAATTTAAAGGTTAATACTTCTAAAAGCTCAATAAATAGAAAAACTCTTTTGAGTCTGCCATTAAAAAAATCTAAAGGTTAATACTTCTAAAAGCTCAATAAATAGAAAAATCCTTCTGAGTCTGTTCATAGGGAAAAAAATGTTTATGGGTATGTGTGTATGATTAGGGAAAAAAAGGAAGCAAGTACTTAATATATAGGTATATGGCAACTCATTTGTTAATTGGTTACAGAATAATTCCCTAGAAAAGATAAGCTATTAAAAACTGAACCAAATGGACATAGAAAGCTTGAACAATTTTAATAAAACAGTCTAAAAGAAGGATTTAAAAAATATCATGTTCAAAGAGACCTGGATCAGGTGGTTTCACCAATGAGTTCCATGTAATTTTTAAGGAGCAGGGGAGTCCACTATTATTTAAACTATTCCATGCCATAGAAAAAATATTAAAATCTCCCCCATTTATTTGGAGAAGTTAACATTATTTTCGTACCCAAATATTATAATAAAAGTACAAATACATATATAAAAATTCAATGCTGCCATTAAATAAAATATAAGTTTCAGCAATAAATCAAAAACATAGTATAATATGACCAAGTAGAGTTCATTCCAATCAAAAAAGAACAGTTCAACAATAGTTAAAGTATCATCATCAATTATGTCAAAAAATTGAAGGATAAACCATATGATTAAAATCGTGAATGACAAAAAAAGTATTTCATAAAAATGTAGCCATTCCTAGTAAGAACAAAGTAATTTAGCTATCAAAGAAATGTTTAAACATAATACTTAACAAAAAAAATAAGACACATAGAAATAAATAATCCTTAGACTTCTCTGTTTAAATGTCTGAAGGACTTTTAATATAGCTAAATGCCTAAACTATGGTAAAGTTTGATGGCAGGAATTGAGAAAGAAGGACAAATTTGAAATTTTGTACGCATATATAAAACACACACACAGGTATACCTATATACATACATTCATATATACAAATTCCATTAAATTCATATATAAAAATGTATGTATATCCCCTCACAGAAAATATATACCACATACATAATTATGCATTTATATTTATTCTATGTTGAAACACTAGCTTACCTGTTTAGGCAGTCGGAACAAGGAATTCTTATAGAAAATGTCCTTAGCCTGGCTCCATGTACCATCAATGATGATGATTGTGGAAGGATAAACAGGAGAATCTAATATAAATTCTTCCAAATTAGCAGCTTCAGCCCCTGGATATAATATTAATGTATCAGACTTCCGACAAACAGTTGAAAGTTCAGGATCTCTAAAAGTTTAAAATGAGAATCTTTATTAGCCTATGAGGGGGAGGTTATAATTCTTACTGAACTTCATTCAAAAATACATGTCAAAGCATTCTGGCACTGGAGATGTAGAAATAAACAGGATAGCCTCTGTCTACAAGCAATGTACGATCGTGAAGGGGAAGGAGACAAGTTAAAGGATCAATTAAAGACAATGAATCGTATCATCTTCAAATTAACAAATGGCATCTGCAAAAATATACAGTCAATATCATCTTTTAACAATGGTTCTTGAGATTGGGATCAAGGTGAAGATACTGGCTTTTACCATTCATAATACACATTGTACTGAAGGTTCCCAGTTACTGCAATAAGGCAAGAAAAATAAATAAAAGGCATAAATATCAGAAAGGAGTAAGTATAAATGACTCTATTTGCAGATAATAATGCTACTTACATAGAAAGTTCTGGGGAATCTATAAGACAATTTCTACAAATAACAAATAAATTTAGAAAGTCATAGTATACTGGGTTAATATAAAACCCAATTGTTTTCTTATGTACTAATAGCAAAAAACTGAAAATAAGTATTTTTAAATTCCATTTACAAAGGATACAAAAAGTAGTAAGTCTCTTAATTGTCCCCCCATGGTTACACCACGTATTCTAACAAAAACATAAATTAATCAATTACCAGATTAATATTAATCAGCTTTAGTTTAAAATTCATCAGTGAATAGTAATTTACCGAGTAAGCACTATATTAGGCACCATCAAAAAAAACTGAACTTAATATATTGAGCTCAAAATGGGGTAGGCTATTTAGAAAAGTGTCAGGTTTCTCATCCCCAGGCACATTTGTGAAGGGGGGTTAGATAGCCGAAAGTCAGAGAGGATCCAGATAGTATCCACTCTACCACCAAAGATGCTCACCACTTTTGCAACAAAATAACCAAGATCCAAGTTGGCAGATCTTGGATAGATCTACATCTATCCAAGAATCATAGAGTAACTATCATTATAAAGAGCCTCTGTGTGAAACAAGGGTCACAGTGTAAATTATGTGACTGCTCGCCATGTGAAGAGCTCTGGCTGGTGCTTCCACTCCCAATAAAATGGCAAAATTCTCAACAGCAGCACCAAGCCCAGAGCAAAGCTCATCTCTAGGGGCAAGGCAATGCAAATTGTGCAAAAGAAAACTCTGTATGAGAAAAAAATGCCTAACCAATAATTTCAGAGAAGGGGAAAAATGATTTTATAAAGTTCTACCATGTTATTTTTATAATATAAAGCTAAAATAATAAAAGAAGGGAAAAGTTTGGCCAATTCCTTGGGCTTAGCACTGGGACTAGTCTTACTTAGCATTTTGATAAATGAACTGAAAAAGAAATCTCCATATTTTCAACAGAAATTAAATTTTTCATCTAAAAATATATATTAACTGTGTAGATAGGCTCAAAATAATTTGTGAAGACAGTGAATAGGCAGAAAAGCAACAAATATGCTTCAAACATAAGAAAAGACCTGTAGAAAAGTTTTAATATACATATAGTAAGTTATATATTTATAACATATAATTATAATTCTGTAATACACTGTGAAATCAGATTCAAGAATATTATAGAACTATCTGTAAAGATGTCAACTAACAAGCTGCTGCACATACTGAGCCTTATCAAAAAGAGTATTTTAAACATGACAAAAAAGGTATTCTATCATTTTTTAAAAATATGATGTGCCTATAACTAGTCGCCGTACCTTAGGAAAGATTTAATGGGCTAGAAATGGATACATATGTCTTTATTTATATAAATGTATATCATACATAATTGTAAAAACAAAGAAAGAAAAAATGAACTAAATCTAACACATGTACCCTAACATCTTGAAATAAAAATAAAAATGAAATAAACAGTAAATATACATGCCTTTTAGGCTTAACATATTTTAAAATGGAATTTAGATAATGCTATAATTTCTTTGTTTATTCCATTTTTGTCTGTGTTGGGGAGGGGAGTGCTCTCGTTTATTTTGTTTATCTTATATTATTTTGAAGGAGAGGCAGAAATCAAATTTTTTACCACTTTCTATGTATCATGTTCTAAGTCTAATGGATAACATGGAGGAGACAATTTTTAAAAATCTGTGTAAAAAAAGTATTAGTTTAAATTGCCTTAAAAGTTAATTTACCTTTCTTCACTAAAGCGACGACCAATCTTGACTTTACACTTGTCTTGGGGGAGACATGCTGCTAGTAGAGGAACTGTCCGCAATACCTTGCTTTCCTATAATTAAAAAATTAATTAAAATGTAGACTTTACTTAGACACACTTTTAAAACTTTTTTGATGAACACTTGATTCATAACATTATATATAATTTTCACAAGTCTTTTACTAGAGATCACAGTTTAACAAAAAGAACTATAGTTTCTCTGATTTATCAGTATTAAATATAATACAAGAACATATTTTTATTCTAGTTTGGAATGTACACACACTTACTGACCAAATAAGGTAACATTAATTTAAATAATGGATAAAATTATAAAAACATAAATTTATGTTTAACTAAATTGAATCATTTACTGACATATTTTTATTTCACTAGTAATTACATTTTGTAGTATGTCCACTTGAAGATAATTGCATAGATATTTATGCCCAGAAAGCAAGGAAGTGCTAAAAAAAAAGGGGGGGGGCATATCAAAGAGACAAAGAAGCCAATCTTAAAGAGCATGCAATGGAACAATATGAGCAACAAAATAATTAACATAGTATTTGGATTATAACCTAAAGTGCAAAATAAATATAGAGACCAGACTGATACAAATAAATAATTGAATAAATAAATAAATGGGAGAGAAGAGACAAGTCTTCCTTACAGAAGAAGCCCAAGTTAATATAAACTCTACCCACTCAAAGAGGCAGAGCTTAATGTCTCCCTCCTACTTGAGTGTCATCTGGATTTATGCCCTTACTTCCAAAGAACAGAGTATGCAAAGAGAAAAATTAATAACTTCAGAGTGGAGAAAGCTGATGACCGTTTCTGTAAATTACATTAACTACCATCAGTGGCTTTTTCAATATTCTAGCTTCCAACACTAAAACCTCCCTTTCTGGTTGTCAAAAGAGCTCCTTCCTTAATCCTAGGAGTCAAGTGATTAGCTGTTCTGCCTCAGCATCATACTTTCTTGGTTATTTTAGTCTGCAGTGCTCAGTCACTGTCTGGCGCTTCTCCACTGGCCCAACTGGGAATCTCATGCTTGATCCAGTAAGTGACAGGGGCCCTTTCTAATCAGTTTACCTACATACAGCCCAATGTTATGTCTACCAATTTATATAATCCTGCATATATATATATATGCATATATATATATATTT